CTGGTACCTGATACTCCAAGCCTGCTAGTCAGTACAAACTGACTTTGATGGACCAATGGTCTGATTCAGTATAAGGCAGCTTTGTATATTCATGTGGATCACAGCCTAGCATCCAGAAGAAACTGTACTCTTCTAGGCCTCACTGACTGACCCCAAAGCTTGAGAAGGCAGACATAATTGAGAAGATGCTCCCTGAGATAATTAGGATGTAGACATTTTATGCTTAACCAGCACCTTGATTGGCCTGGAAACAAACTGTTAACTCGTGATTTAGAATGGGTTTACATGCTTTCAGGTCATCTTATTCCCACCAACGGTCAAGCTGCAGCACTTTGAACCAGGTGAAATTTTTAATCTAAACCGTTTTTGGTGGCAGCATTACATTAGTCTGATCTGAAGGTCACAAAGACATGAATGACAGAAGTCAGGTCTTTAGTTGATGACTAGCTGGTCCATTTTTGAGAGTTATGTAGCTACCATAGTTAAGATACAACAAGATATGTTAATGTTGATCCTTCCAGATTTAAAGGAGTAGACAAGAGTGGGATCAGCTTCTGGCCATCCTTCCTATAAGAAATAAGTGACACATCAAGTGGTATTAGCCAAGTAGACATGGGGTTGGTCTCAAGACAAAGGGTAATGAAGAAAATTCCATAGGAGCACTTTTTCATTTTTGTTGTCTACTTGTAAAGATAGGCAATAAGAAACAGCACAGAGAAAGACTGAACCTATTCTTACTGAATCATGGTGACCCAGTCTCAGGTTGCGGTCACACGTGCGAGATAAAGCAGGGGGAAGCGAGGCTATTTACCCTGGAGGAAATTGACCCACAGTTGCGCAATCACACCGTTCTTTGACGCTGCGGGCACAGCCTGCCACTGCATGATCAGACACAACCGTGGGTGAGTCAGGGGTTGGGGTTTTTTTGCCGTTTGTTTCCGACTCGCTTAAACAGGGGATCAATGAATTGCATCTCCACACTAAGGGCTTCCTATGGCAGTATGCGATGATGCGCATACTGAGAAGGGGAAAAAACAATGGCATGGAATCGGGATGGCCTGATCAGATCATCCCAATGCCATGAGAGCGTGCTGGAGTGATCACATGGAGAAAGTCTGTCTGTGGCCCGTAGCAAACCTGTTTGCTACTGCACTTTCCCTGGTGCTTTTTTAACTTCACTTCTGCAGCGGAGCAAAATGGATTGCCGATGGGTGCGGGATGCTCGGCATATGTTCTCGTGTGATTGCGCCCTTAATATCCTTCCGGCATTTGCGCCTATGGCACGGCTAATTCTGTGCGCGATTGCGACCTCATTATTTCTAAGGGGCTTCTGTCAGAAGAAGAAATTTGGATTAAAATGCCTGCATTGTGTATCTCTACATGAAAAAAGAAAGAATAACTTTTTACTTTCCACAATTTATGTTTTAAATGTCAGTATCCTTCAGAATACCTTCTGATATTCACAACTCATAAACTTTAATAAAAATTAAATTCAAGCCAAAATATCAGCAACAGTGCAGTGAACGCTGTTTGAGGAGTCTCAAATTTATTTGTGTGTAATGGAGGAAAGGTGGATGGAGAGCAAGGAGGAAGGTAAATGAGCCATGTCCAAAATATCTGATAACCTACAGAAAATTATTTGCATAAACAGTAATGTATGTTACTGAGCAGTATGATTTCTTGAATAAAAGTGGACCACAGTATGGCATATTCCGTCTTGATAATGGCAGGATACATTGGAATTGTATCTTCCTGAGACAGACAAACCAAGTCCAATGGAAAAAGAGAGCTAAAGACGATTATGTATCTCCTGAGACTAACAAATCATGCTGCATTCCTATTTGAATTGTGAAAGGGCTACTGATCTTGATTGGCCAAAATGAGAAATCCTTGACAGGCTACTAAATGATCTATGACAATTTCACATTCTTTTCTTTTTTCAAAACACCATAAAAAGTCATCTTGGTGGAATTACTATTGACTTAGAAAAAACAGATAGACATCTAAAAATGGGTTGTGCTCTCATTAGTTGCTCACTGTATGAGTGCTAAAGCAAAATGCTTTGTTTAAGATGATGTAGGAAAGTTTGGCTGTCTTTTTAATTCTAGATCTTTCCCTCACCTATCCTGATTATGCATAAATCAATTCAAACCTTAGAAATTAAGCAAACTCTGGAGGACGAAGGAAGCCAGGAGGGCCTAGCGTGATGTGGTCCATGGGGTCATGAAGAGTCAGACTCAACTGTGCGACTAAACAACAACAGAACATTCCCATATTTCTTTAACTTGAATATCAAACATAAATTTGTTCTAGTGTTCTAGAGGTGAACACTGACATTCTGAAGGTGCGTTGTGGAATGAACTTAATTATGTGTTGTTCTCTTACAATGGAATCCCAAGCAAAATTACATATTTTTAAAACCATTGATTTCGATGAACTCTGTTTAGGATTATACTGCTACTTATTTTACCTTGTTGATTTTTATATTATTAATCAATAGTAGTACTATAAAATGGTACATTTACTCAGTTATTACCACAGAGTTCCAAGCCACATACTGTACCCTAAGAAACACCCGCCACACAAGCAAGCCCCCCTCCCCCCCCGCCCGTCTAGGGCACGACCTCAGTCCTGCCAGGAGAGGCAAAGAAAGCTTCGGCGGAGGCTGCCGCCCGCCCGCTAAGGAGAAGCAGCAGCTGTGGCCGCCGAACAAAGCGCCTCTTCTGCCCCTCCCCAGCGGAGGCTTCCTGGCCGCCCACGCCATGCCTCACTTTCCCCTCTCCGCCGCGTTCATTGGCCCGGGCCGGGGACGTCGGCTTGCCGGGGAGTTTTTTGCTTTTCTTCCTCTTGCCAGAGTCTTGGGCCATGGTGGACACTTTTTCTTTCTCACCCGTCAGTGCGCGCTTTCACGGGAGCAAGCCGAGCGGGACGCGTGCACGCTGCCCTCTGCCTCCCAGCCTGGTGCACTGCCGCCACGTAGGGAGGCTCCACAGCGGGCAGGTGGCTGGCGGGAGAAAGGCTAAAGTGCGGCCAGCAGAGGGGCAGGCAGGCCAGCCCCCCCAGTGACCCCGATTCAGACCACGGGGACCACAACGCCACTCTGCACAGCCCTGTCCCCCACCTCCGGCCCTGCCTCTAGGCTGCTGGCTTCCTCCCCCCCTTCACTTACCAGTGAAGTGGCCGCTGGGCCTCCTCTTCCACCGGGGCAGCCCTGTGGAGGACGAGGTGCCCAGCATGGAGAGAGGGAGGGCGGCAGAGGGGACGGAAGGGTGGGGCAGCCGGCAAAAGGGTGGGGCAGCCGGCGGTGTTCTGGAGGACCCTCCTGCGGCCGAGCGCCACTCCCTGGGACACCGGCTGCTTTCACCTGAGTGAGTGTGCTTGGAACAAACATCTATATATCTAATACCCAAGTTGCCCCCTCCGTGTGGATATCTAAATTCGCACATCGGGGGCACTTGGGGGGCAGAGAAATTTTCCTGCACACTTGGAGCAGTCCCCAGGTGTGCAGAAAAATCTAAAAAGTTGAAAAAATATACGGGGATATTTAAATCCCCCCAAAAGTAACAGCATTCCCTGTGCATGTGCAAAGAATGCTCTGGCTGTTGGGGGAGAGGCTTGGCAAGCCCGGTGGCTGGGAGCCACATGGGCCTCGCTGCCAGTGCCTGGGGAGGGGAGTGGGAGAAGGATTGGCAGGCCCGCGTGGCTCGCTGCCAGTGTGTGGGGGACATGGGAGAAGGATTGGCGGGGCCAGGAGCCGGGGGGCACAACAGGAGTCACACAGGCCACACCATCAGTGCTGAGGGGTTGGGGGGGAGAAGGATTGGCGGGCCTGGGTCTCACCATTGGTGTGGGGGCGGGGGAGAAGGCTCACTTGCAGCTGCTTCCTTCTCCTTCTCCACATGGAGCTCCTTCTCCCCCCCCCGAGTATCGTGGGTCCCTGCTTCTTGTACATAGCTTTTTTCTATAGTGTGTTGCCTTTAATCTGTGTTGCCTTTAAAAATTGTAGTCATCAACAGAAAAAAATACACTTTTACTAAAACATAGTAGTGATTGTCCTAATACTGTTATCAGTCTCTTATGGGTGACCACAGTTGCTTGACAGTGCTCCTCATGACATGCATATAAATCTATGCTAAAACAATTATCTGTAAATGAGTAATCAGAACAAAAAGTATGGATAATTGTACAGCTTTATTCAGGTCATGCCAAGTGTGTTGGCAGCTGTCTCTCAGTTACTGGATGGGAAAAAGATGATCCCCAAATACCTATAAATAGTAGGAAATTCTCTTGGTATCCTGAAAAAGCAAAAGTGGCCCACCTGAGCTCCTTGCCAGATTGTCCATTGATTGTTTCTTGTCTGACAGTTAACACTGCAAAATCGTCCACTTAACGTTGTGAAATATTTTATCTATATCAACTGTGGGCTTGTTTATCTGATCATCTCAATATGTCAGAATGTGGGTTTTATGCTCATGATGATCTTGGTTCAATATTTGGGTACACAAACCCATCTTCTAATAGGCCAGGCTGGTTATGTGAATCTTCTGCAAACATGCTGATTAATCTATTGCCAAATACTTTTTGTGTTCTGTTTAAGTCACAAATGAGAGATGTTTATTGAATGATGTGCTTTAACCTGTTGACTGCATGAAGTCAGCTACTAGAAGGGCCTGTAATTGGCTTGAGCTCAGCTGTTTGCACTGGCATTGAGGCAAGAGGGACACCTAACATAATACAGTTGGACAAAGTTGTCGATTGGATCTGTAGATAATAACATCATTAGCAATTCTTACAGAGTTGTTCACTGTTTTATGGAATTTTGGCCTGACGACTGCTTTTGTAGAGATGATCATTTGACCTTTCTCTTTGTTTACAGACTATTATTTTATAGCCACCCTATCCTCTTGTCATCTGACATTCAGCTTTGTGTTTAGTATTATATGTTTGTTTGTCTTCATTTCATTGTCTTATTTTTATTTTTGTTTCTGCTATGCTTTCAGTCATTATCACACTCTGCCTTGGTCCCAACATACTCAGTCCATTGGCTACCATCATAGAGATGCCAGGTATCTGACTTCCTGTGTGTGACTGTGTGTGTATAAATGCATGTCCCTGCTTTAACCTATGTTTTCACTAATGAATGTTTTCATTAGCAAACAATTAGTATATCACTTGGTATTAGTTTTTGACAAATGATATTTAAAATGTATATCTTTGCCAACAAGACATACTTGATGGCAATTGTTGCCCTGTTCTCAAAAAATTATAAAATGAAGCAGTTATTAAGATTTTGTTTAAACTTCTGGATTAGATCCTTCTAGTTCCGGGGGGGGGGGGGATATGCTATCTTGAGCAAGTCTGGAGAGGCAACATAAAAATCTTCTAACTAAATACATAAACTGTATTTTGGGAATAAATTACAATAGTCATAAATTATTTGTATGCATTATCATGCTATATATTACACAGTTGATTTGAGTTGTCCAACTTTTTAAATTTTCTTTTATTTTGTCACTTCTCTCTCGAAGTGCATGTTCTCATGGTAGTTTCATGTTCACCCCTTATGTTTTGGCAGCAAGGATCGCTCAATGTATCCTATCTTTTGTGAAGATGCAATCAGATTACTTCGATCCCGTACGATGTGCCGTACCTATTCTGAGGGTGCTTACTATGAATTTGAGAGGTATAATAGGTGTGCCGTATTTATTTAGCCCCCCCCATATCAGATATAAGCAGAAAGTACTCCACTGTTCAAAACAAGCAGCCATTTATGTTTAATGGTACACTGAAACACAACATTGCACTGTACTTACATAGCAGAAATGTTATTTGTTGTACAAATCATAGTTACAGATTTACTTTAAATTTAAGGGGAAACACTTGGTTATTGGGAGTATCAATGTCTAGTAGTTATTGTCGAGTATAGCTTTCATTAATACTTCCTCCATGTTAGAAGGCTTGGAGCACTTTATAAACTCATGTTTATTTCTACTGAAGTGACATACTACTTATTAGGTTCAGAAATGTGTTGGCTTAACATATAGAAATTACCATCTGTTTGAAAAAAAGTTGTTGGGTTTCTTTTATTTCTCTTGAGCACTAAGTGGTAAAATTCAATTTTTTAAAAATAAAGATCAGAGAGTAAAGCAATATTTGTAAACAGTTCCAATGTGGTATGGTAGTTCCAATGTAATAGGAAGGACCCATATAATATTGTCATTTTTTCATGCTATATTTTCCCCCAGAAAATTTAGATCATGATTCCGCAAAAGCTAAGAACTTCTAAATCTCCCGAGTATTGACATGAGAGTTAAGCATGTACTTAGTTTATCCAAGTGTTTATCTTTGGCTGGATCATACACTTAGTGTCATATTTGATCAAAAGTTATGATCAAAGGAAGTAGCTGTGTACATCCAGCATAAACTGTATTAAATGTTCTCCTAACAGCAGCTCTCAACACCACATCAGCATGCATTTCAAGTTCTCCTAAGTATAGACAGCCGTTTGTAACACTCCAGTGTTGATGGGGTGCTGGAGAGGAATGCGTGGATCTTTCTGCCAAATTCTATTTCCGCTTTCTAGAAATCCTCATGCCTCCACTCTATATCAAGGGCCAGAGAACTTGACATCCTGGTTTTGTAGAGGCTTTGCCAGGAACTCCTTCTTGTCCTGACACTTTATGTCACAACTAAAATATTTTATCCAGTAATAACCCACATTATTAAGAAGGACAGTCTCTTTACAGATAGACTTATGCCTTATCTTCAAGACTTCTTACCTAACATAAGAACATAAGAGAAGCCAATGTTGGATCAGGCCACTGCCCATCCAGTCCAACACTCAGTCACACAGTGGCCAAAAATACCAGGTTCCATCAGGAGGTCCAACAGTGGGGCCAGAACTCCAGAAGCCCTCCCACTGTTGCCCCCCCCCCCCCAAGAATACAGATCATCACTTGCCCCAGAGTTCCTATCTATACCTTGTGGCTAATAGCCACTGATGGGCCTCTACTCCATATGTTTATCCAGTTCCCTCTTGAAGCCGTCCATCCCTGTAGCCACCACCACCTCCTGTGGCAGTGAACCTGCCATCCCAACCTGCATATTGTGGGTTCAGTCCTCATAGTCAATTAAATCCAGTCTAGTTCTTGGACTTCTTAAGCATTCCGTTGCTACTTATACTATTACAAGCAGCAATGGGTTTTGGAAAGTCAGTACTCTTGCAGTGTGATGCTATATACATTGTGGCATTCATCATGTAGGATGCATGTAGACCATGACACAGAAGAGGGGTTTTTGAGGTTTGGCCTTCTCATTCCTTGTTTATCATGGAGAAAACCCATTATCTGCTTTGGCAGCATGCATTCCATGAATCTAAAAGACATCTCAACAGAGAACCAAAAGATCCCTATCATTATGTGGATCATGCAACAGAATTTTAATCTCTGCCTATCCCCCTTCTCCCTGCCCTGGGCAGTGAAGCTACTGGCAACTGCTGTGCATACAAGGGAGCTGAGCAGATCAAGCACTCATCCCAAGACACTTGCCATCAAAAGACATTATTAGGCATTCCTCTGCTTCTATGCACATAATTGGTTGCCACTAGCAGGGGGAAGAGAGACACATACTGTAATGATGGAATAAGTTTGTGGAATGAGTTCAGACAGGTGTTATCAGGGATGAAAAGTTTCCATACTTTATACTGTGTAGTTTTGCCTTTTAGGCATGCCTAATATTTGCTGGACTGCATTCCATTGCAGCAAAAGAGAAGTATCAATGTTGCATAACAATTATATTCTGTGGAAGAACAAGAAAAAATAATATCAAGTACCTTTAGCAATACTAAAATGTCTAAAATCTCTCTGCTGTTTATTTCATGTTCAGGAGGAGTAGGCAGGAGGGAAGAGTGCCTAAAACATATTTTGATGACACTGATACTTCCCCCACTCCTGAAAGGTATTTTGACTTATGCACTAGATATAGATAAAAATTACTACCATAGCATTTTGTAAATATCATGTGGTAGAAATTTGAAATGGCCAAGAATAATGACAGAGTTCCTGGGCTCTGCTCCTAATATGTTAATATTCTCACCAACTTACTTTCATGTCTTGAACTGGGAGTAGGGTTTTTTTGGCCCTGCATAAATTACATCATACTCTTTCACCTGGAGAGATGTTTATTGGTAGAATATAGTAAACACAGGCGGGAAAACTGACAGTGCTACTGACATTTGTACTCATTTGACTTGAAGAATGAGTGTCAGAAGCTTGTTTTACCTTCAAAATGAGATGAGCTATACCAGCCCCGTAGCCAGAAATTTTGGGTTGGTGGGGCATGGGAAAATTTTGTGGGGCAGAAGGGGAGACCGAGGAAGGAGAGGTGGCCTCACACCTTCCCTGAAATCCAAGCGGTGATTTTGCCAGTTGGAATTCAGGCATGGGCATCTCCCACTTGACTCCAGTCACACCTTGAGGTTGGCAACCCTAAAGTCCAAGGCATCCGATACACTCTGAGAAATGTACCTCCCAGGACATGTATGTGTGTGTGTGAATCCCTTTAAATTGTGTTTGTCAAGCGGGAGCAGCCCACATATGAACTCCAAGTGGCAAATTCATCATTTGGAGTTCAGGGGAGGCGTGCAGCCAACAGTTGCCCCTCTCTCTCACCTCCTGCAAGATCTAAAGGGCCCTCCAGCTGATCAGTGAGCTCTGTTGATCAGCAGGAGGGCCCTTTTAATGTCACAGGAGAGGGAGAAGGGGGGGAAAGGATCAGTGCCTCACATTTGAGGGGATGGAGCCCTGAAATGCCCCACTGAAGCTATGGGCCTGAGCTATACAGCCCCTGAACCCTTCTCTGGCTCAAATTGTACAGCTGAGCCAAAGAAGAATTCACCCTTCTTCCTCCATCCAATTTAGCTGCTGTGGCAGATGCACACATTGGCATGTTGGCTGATCGCTGAGAAGAGGGAATAAGAACAGCATAAGAACGTAAGAGAAGCCATGTTGGATCAAGCCAATGGCCCATTCAGTCCAACACTCTGTGTCACACAGTGGCCAAAACCCAGGGGCCATCAGGACATCCACCAGTGGGGTCAGAACTCCAGAAGCTGTCCCACTGTTGCCCACCAAGCACCAAGAATATAGAGGATCACTGCCCCAGACATAGTGTTCCATCTATATATTGTGGCTAATAGCGACTGATGGACCTCTGCCCTGTATGTTTATCCAGTCCCTTCTTGAAGCTGTCTATGCTTGTAGCTGCCACCACTTCCTGCAGCAGTGAATTCCACATGCTAATTAGTCTTTGGGTGAAGAAGTACTTCCTTTTATATATTCTAAGCCTACTGCTCATTAATTTCATTGAGTGCCCACGAATTCTTGTGTTGTGAGAAAAGGAGAAAATATTCTCACGGATTTTTCTCTCTCTCTTTCACTTTCCTTCACTCACTCACACACACACACACACACACACACACGAGCACCCATGGCACTTTGGCTACACTCTGAGATGTGTCCTGGGAGTTACATTTCTCAGAGTGTATTGGATGCCTTGGACTTTAGGGTTGCGCCAATCTCAAGGTGTGGCTGGAGTCCTCCTGGAATTACAACTGATCTCCAGACTACTGAAGAAAGTGGCGGTTTCAGAGGGTGGACTCTATGGTATCACATAACCACTGAGCTCCCTCCTCTCTCCAGACTCTACACTCCCCAGGCACTGCCCCAAATCTTCTGGAATTTTCCAAGCTGGACTTAGCAACCCCAGACTATGTGCATGCAAAGCACCTGGGGAAAGGGGGGAGAGGAAGAGAGAGTGGTAGGCAGGAAGATAAATTGTAACATGCCAGTATTTAAAACTAGAGTGTTAGTTGATTGTGCATATTTTTACTGGAAAATAATGTTCATTTTTAATGTAGTCCATCAATACAGAGGCTCCATCAAAAGCATTGGGGCTCACAGAAAAAAATTAAAATTAAAAAGAATAGCTTTAAACTGCTGACAATAGTTGAAAATACTGAGATGTAAAGGAGAAAATACATGCGTTCTTATTCTTCAAAAAGTCTAATTTTCCAAATGAATTTTAAAATTCCTTGAACATGATATGTGGAGAACCCTGGAAATAACTACCAGATTAGTAAGAAGCAAACTATATTTCATGAAAATGTTTTAATGAAAAACTTCATCTTTGTAACATATTTTTATTTTAACTGCATTGTAAAGGTATTACAATGGTGCACGTTCATGGGCAGATCATGTAGTCAATGGTTCAGCTGAAAATTACGGGTAAGTAAAGAGTGTAGTGTTATAGTTCTGTAGTTAAAGACTTATAGTTTAGATATAGTGTTATTTTATTACAGGAGTGGTGTCATATAATACACCTTTTTATTCTAACCTTTCTCTTTTTATATAATAAAGTTTCTCAGGCTGAAGTGGGTGTTATGCTTCACCATCCATACCTTTCCTTGTACTGTGAGATGTGAGGCAATGTTGTATTCTTTGAATAGACAAAATGTTCACAGGACAGATTTATTATTCATCAGGACAGCTTATGATTTAACTATTACTCATGCGATTTATATTACTGCTTTTATTATTTACTGGAGACACAGAGGATGAAACAAAATAAATTTGTTTAATAGGTCAGCGTAACGAAGTCGTTTAATAGGTCAGTGTAACAAAGTCATTGTGAGCTGGTGCTGAAGTGTATTGCAGATTTATGGTTAAAAATCTGGAGAGGCTTAAAGTTGTGAATTCTATAGTAGATTAATTTTGTACTGTTTCTAAGAGGAGCAGCACCCAAACCCTTTTTATCTACTAATTCACTGAAGTTCCTACAGGATTCTCTGCCTAGTCAGGTTACCTCCTAACCTCTCTCCTTCAAAACCCACTCTCAGACAACTTCCATTTCAGCATATCTGAAAAAGTCTGCGTGCACATGAAAGCTCATACCTTGAATAAACCTTTGATGGTCTTAAAGGTGCAGCTGGACTCTAATTTTGTACTACTGCTTCAGACCAACACAGCTGCCCACCTGGATCTATTTTCCTCCTAACATTCTTCCTTCTACCCCCACTCAAAGATGTTTCGCAATCGCTGGAGGAGGCAACTCTTCCTTGTCATCACAGGTGGTAAAAGCCGATAGGAGAAAATTATATGCCATTCCTTTTTTTCTAGTGTATGTCCAGTGTTTTTCTTTTTCTGCTCTCTCTCACATATACAGATCATATAAGTTTGCTTATAAGTCATACATTTTTTTTTAAAGCTGCCCCAAAGGGCAGAATTTTATTAAGTTTTAAACACGATACAATACGTTACAAAACTTAACATACAAACATTAAAACACTGACATATTTATTTATTGATATATTGACATATATGTTTGATTGTATGTAAATCTTTCTTAAGGAAACACAGTAAGCAAACTTGCTTTTGTCTTTGAGTGAAAGAAAACATACCATCACACTTACAGGTGTGACTTATATGCATATTTGTATACAACTGTAAACTTATATGCATATTAGAATTATGTTATATTCATCCTTGTGGTCTCTGTGCAGTCTCACATGGGAACTATACATGTACAGTCAGCTGCAGAAGTTTCCATACTGCTTTGGAATGCAAGGCAGTTTTCTTCCTCTTTATAGTTGTTCCTGCTCATAGGTCATGTGAAGAGGAAGAGTGGCCATGACCTGGATAGCCCAGGCAAGCCCGATCTCATCAGATCTCGGAAGCTAAGCAAAGTAAACTCTGGCAATACTCGGATGGGAGACCTCCTTGAAATACCAGAGGTGGGAGGTGGGGGCAGGCTTTATTCAGTCACTTCTCTGAATATCCTCCAGACCCCCAGTACAGGTCAGTCATCAGAGGTCACCATGATTTCCAGGTGCGTGTATGCACGCACGCACACACAAACACACGAATACAAAAAAAATTCAAAAAAAATTTAAAAAAACGTGAAGAGGAAGAGTAGTCTCATTCCTCTTAGTGATCTTTTCCTTCACCATGAAAGGAGGAACCATTAGAGTTTGCTCCTTTAAAGAAATAAAGAATTATGAAAAAAGCTAGTGGAAATGGATAAAAAAATTATTCTCTGCCAGTTTATCTTGCACTATCATTATGATTGCCCTGATGTAGATGGCCCAGGCTAGCCTGATTTCATCGGAACCATTAGAGTTTGCTCCTTTAAAGAAATAAAGAATTATGAAAAAAGCTAGTGGAAATGGATAAAAAAATTATTCTCTGCCAGTTTATCTTGCACTATCATTATGATTGCCCTGGTGTAGATGACCCAGGCTAGCCTGATTTCATCAAATCTGAGAAGCTAAGAAGGGTCAGCCCTGGTTAGTACGTGAATGGGAAGTCCAGGGAAGTCCAGGGTGACTACGCAGAATAAGGCAATGGCAAACCACCTCTGCTTCTCACTTGCCTTGAAAGCTGGAGTCTCCATAAGTCGGATGCGACTTGACAGCACTTAACAACATCATCATTATGACTCAAAAAGATCTTTTTAAAAAGTGGCTCAAACTAACAACCAGTCCTTCTGCCTAGTATGCCTTGGTGAGGGATATGGTGTCACTAAATGTTCAAACGATTCATACCAAAGTAGTAAAGCTTCATCTTTAAAAGTTGTCTTTTGGGAAAGGGCCTTAGCAGCTAACTGTATTAGGAACATCACCAGTGATGGGCTGAAGAAGGTTGCCTCATTGAGATGTTTGAGATCATCCTCACTTGTGACCTCAGAACTGAAAAATCTGCAACTGGAACCAGAAGATGATATGACAGTATTGCAATAAATCCAACAAAAACCATATCAGAGCCAGTCATAACCTCCAGCAAAAAATCTAGAGTGAAACTGAGTCAAACCCATGACAAGAACAAGAGAAGAGCGACACTTCCACAAGACAAAGTTGACAAAACCATTACTGGACAAGATATGGGAAATCATTCCAGTTTACAAAACCTCATGACATCATCATCAAGAGACAAGAATAAGCATTGCTGTTTCAGTTTCTGATGGTGAGACCAGGAGAAATATCCACTCTAAACATGTTACTAACACGAACCAGTGCAGTTTAGTATACAACTAGGATCTGGGAGATTTGAGTTCAAATCTTTACTTAGCCATGAAGCTCATTGGGTGACTTTGGGCAAGTTATACTCTTGCAGCCTAACATATCTTACTGGGTTGTTGTTACACATTAAACAAGCTGTCCAGTTTAACATAAAAGATGCAGCATCTCTGCACAGTCTTTATCCCACTGGATCATCTCTCATAAAATTCTGTAATGATCTCTCCAAGGTTCACTGTTCCCTGCAAGTTAATATAGCACCAGGATTCAGGCATTCTCAGCTACATTTATTAAAGCAGAGTTGCAACTTCTTTCTCATTATTTATCAAGCACTACTTTGTAGAAGTCAGTGCACAGAAATAAGCAGAAGTTGGCAAAGCAAAACTACATGTTGTGTTTACCTAAGAGACATGCCTACCATCCAACTGGTAAGCTAACTTGCTAATCTTTCATATACAGATACCATAAAGATGAAAATAGGGTTTCACTTTCCTATAACAGAAGTTTTATTAGCTGCTGTTCTGTGCAATCGCATATTCCCTCCCCTACCCCACTGTGGGATTTCCTAGCACAAATGCTGTGGCTCATGAAGGCTGATTGGGGGGGGGGCAGAGCTGAGCCAGATAATGGTGGACACCTAATCTGAGGGCTCCACGCCTAGATGCCGAAAAGGGCTCCAAAACACAAACTTAATAGCCTTTAATAGATGAAACTTTGGCTGCATTAGAAAGCAGAAGACCTAAAGAATTCAAATATTGAGAGTCTGTGGATACTCCCTTAAGGGTTTGGAGGAATATCATAATAATCAGACTCCCTTCTACAGAAGCAAGGAGATAAGATGGCTGCCAAGGGCGCAGAGAATGAAAACAACGGGAGCAATGTCAAAAACATTTTAAAAGGTATGCAAAAACAACTATCGCTTTTACAAAAGGATTTAAAACAAAAATTAATGGATGGATGGAGAGACTTATTAAAACCTGTAAACAGTCAATTAAAGTAATTAGCTGATAATGTTAAAAGTGTGGCGATAAAGCGAATGTTCCTGAAGCAACAACAGATAGCGGAAGATGGACCTGAGAAAGTGGAAGAGAACAAAGACGAAGAAGAAGACGAAGACGAAGAAGAAGAAGAAGAAGAAGAAGAAGAAGAAGAAGAAGAAGAAGAAGAAGAAGAAGAAGAAGAGAATGATGGGGAAGGCTGCGATACCATCTCGAAGAGTCTGGCAAAACTTTCTGATCTTGAAGCACAACTAGGGGCTGCTGCCCCTAAACCATCTAAAAACTAATCCAGACTTTGATAAGAGGAAAGGAAATTGCAAAACAGATTAACTCTGATAGCCTGTTGTTTATTTTTAAGGCATAACTTTAACTTTACGATATTTACACCTTAGTTAAAGAGATTATTATTGCTTGCTTGACATTTTTGCATTAGTAGAAGAAGAAGAAGAAGAAGAGAAGAAGAAGAAGAGGTTGGATTTATACCCCGCCCTTCACTTGGAGTCTCAGAGCGGCTTACAAACTCCTTTCCCTTCCCCTCCCCACAACAGATACCCTGTGAGGTGGGTGGGGCTGAGAGAACTCTGACACAAACGGCTCTTTTTCAAGGACAGCTGTGCCAGAGCTTGTGACTGACCCAAGGTCACATCAGCAGGTGCGAGTGGAGGAGTGGGGAATCAAACCCGGTTCTCCCAGATTAGAGTCCGCGCACTTAACCACTACACCAAACTGGCTCTCCTTCATGTTCTACTACTAAGACAACAGAGATGTATCAATAATTTTATATTTCTGTATTATGGATCCTTGTTACTCTTTATTTTAGGATGTTCCATTACCCTGACCCTGTAGTTTTGTAGATTAGAAAATAAAAAAAATAAAAGGCAAAAAAAAAAGTGTGGCTGAGTCTGCTGAGCGAGGTTTGAATATCAGTAGAGCACAGCAGGAGAAAATCAAGAAACTGGAGAACTAAAATAGAACTATGAAACTAAAATTAGCTGATTTGGACAACAGAGATCACCGTATAAACATCCGCATTCGTGGGGTTCAGGAGAAAGCTGAGAGAGACGATATCATAGGGTTTCTTATTGACTGGTTTAACTCCCTGGTCCAAGACCCCCCCCCTTAAGCAGAATGGATCTTGAAAGAGCCCACAGAATATCAATTGCGAGAGGAATAAATACTTCAACTCACAGAGACATTGTGGTGCATTTTGCAAGAT